GTTATCTTAGTTTGTTCAACTACTTTAATATATATGTTCATACGCTCATATGTATAATGTTAAATAAGATGTAGATAGAGAAGATATTTAATCGCGCGCAATCGTAAATATAAGTATGATAATTTTCTTATCACTCGTAAATGTAAAACTTACTAATTTCTTGATAACTGACGGTAAGATAACGAAATCACGACCTTATAGATGTAACACAAATATCGACTTATTTTCGCTAATTCAAAAATTATATTCGAGAAAATAATTAAAAAAATAATATTAATGTATTATTTGATAAATTATTTAAAGAACATTACTATTTCTTAAGTAAAAATATGCCATGAACTAAACGATGAACTCCGGCGTTAAACAAGATCATGGCATTAATTACGAGATAAAATCTAATTCATCGATGCAATCTATTTTGTTAATGACTCGACAAGCACCAGTAAGAAGCGCACATTGAGTAACGTCGCAAAAATGCCGTTTGCTCTCTGTCGATGGAATGTGGAATGCATTTACAGTGTCCCTGCATTCCAACAGCTGCGCAAATATTTAAATTAAAGCGGCAGTCGGAAAAAGGGACTCCGTAGATCTGTGGGATGCTCTTCGGAATTACGTTTCGTTTAAATTACGCATCTATCAATCTATAGAACGTACAAAAATGCATCTTTCAATGTGTAAAACGCACAAGATTTTTTATCATTCTGATATTTGTTCATAAAATTGAATTTCGATGCTTTCAGCAATAAATTATGTATATAACAGAAAAATTTTCCTGATTAAAAGTTGGGTGGATCTATAACTGCATTAATATTATCAGCATACATATAGGTATATATGATGCCTCGTGAAATGCCGAGCAATCATTTTATGCAATACTATCGCGAGATATCTTCTACACAAACAGTGTCATTGTTTTGATGTCGGTTACAGGTTTCTTAATAAAGTTATCTATTATTTCTTTAATAAAACTTTGGGTAATTAATTTTTAACATTTTTATAATTAAACACAAGTGATTAAATAACTATTAACTCCATTTCTAAATAAATCCGTTACAAATCAAAACTGTTAAAATAATGTCAAAAATTTTCTTTGGCAATGCAATTAATTTAAAGCTTTTTTGGAAATAAATTTCCAGCACTTACTAGCATTTTTTAAATTGTCATTAAATGTTATTTTAAAAGAAATTAATGTCATACATTTTTAAATAAAATGCGCATCTTGTACATTAATTATACGTAAATGACATCATTGTATTTAAAAAAATATAAGATTTTATTATTTACTTTTGCCGATTCCTGTTTATAAAATTTTGTTAAAGCTAAAATCTTGAGTTTTAATTTCTTACAATTTGAAAACTGTCAATCTTCGTGCAATCTTAAAACAAAAATGCTCAGTACTTATACTGTATAAAACAAATATAGTACAAAGTACTATATAAGATAATTAACAAGACACTCTGTGAGACAATTTAGTAATTTAACATAACAATATGTTATTATTCACCATGATTTTTTCTGTAAGATATAGGACACTTTCACACTCTAACAATTCTTATGAAAAACTTGTGAAACGAGTATAGCTCTTTAATTCACCGGGAACACTGACTGCCATGTGAACTCACTGCTCACCTTAAAAGAGAAATGTCGGTGAAAAAAAGGCCCAAATGGGGACCCTCTCTTGGACGCCAGCGACCAACAACAAACCGTATTCACATGCGCGCAACAGTGTTCGTGACTCGACTGAGCGGCGGGGAATATGGCGATCTGGGTTGTGTGGATCCGTAGATTATTATCGTGGCGTCGGTGGCCGATGAGGAAACATCGTCGACTCGTGCTCGGCCTTGCAGTATCGGAGTGTATAGTGTTCGCAGGAAATTTTTATCAAAGCTTCTCACGCGGTCATGATTCTCCGTCTTTTCTGAACTGTAAATTTTGAGAAATTTTCCTTACTTGATAATTTAATATGTAAAATTCTGTAATGAATAAAGAATAAGCGATAAGAGAAAGGGAATCGTGGAGAATCGTTTGCTATGGGCCCGAGAGAAAAACGATTCGACGTTGCGGCCTTGGTGCGAGTGTAACCGCAGAACAGGCGTACGTTCCGATCGCATAAGCGCTCGTAAGGCACAAGTATGCACGTTCCATAAATTTAGATGGTATTCGCATAATGCAGCCAAAGAAATTAATGGAAAACCAACGCCTTATACTTATTGATATCGGACGTATCTCTAATTATTTTTAAAATTTACGATTATTCTTCTCTCAAAAGAGTCTGCATGCAGTTTAAATATTCTCTTTATCACATACTATTCGATAATATATTTATGATTAAGGTATTTTTTTATAATATAATTGAAAGTTTTTATTGTATATAATTTTTATTATAACTCACACAGTGTCTTTTCGATATATAGCTGTTCAAGTCATATAAATATGTAGGAGCTGATTAGAAACTGCCTGATAACGCGTTTGAGAAGTAAAAATACATATAAGTTAAACTACAGAAAGAGCGCATCGAATTACCAAATCAACGTTTATTGCGCTATAAATAGCGATGACAAATTTGGCAACAGGCACGATATACAAGTAATTATTTGTACTTGTTGAAATTTATTGTATTATTCTAATAGAACAAATAAATTTCTCGTAATCTGACACATGTTTCCTTCTAGAATCAGTCAATATTAATACCTTTTAAATCCGCACATACCTCGTATTATAGAAGCGTCTTGTTTTCGCGTGAAATCGTGAAACTTTCTTATTGTGCTGCAAATATCGTTCTTTGAATGCCGAATGACACAGATGAATGATTTTTTTAAATTTATAACAGGGTGATTAGAAAGCAATCTGACAGATTCGAACAAATGTCACGCACATCTGCGCACGTGCAGCGACGCGTGCAGCGATAATGACAGCTGCTGTTGTGTTGATAGCCGGTCGTCGTGACAACCCAACACCGTGAACTTGGTCGAGCTTGATCGAGCAGCTCTTCATGAATTCACCGGGACACAGTGCTCGTGATTTTTCGCAACGAAATACGCATTTGAACCGAGCGACGAAATGGTTGTTGTCGATAAACGTAGATATTTAATAGTCTCCACAGCGGGATATTTCTTTGGCACGTCCGTGCAGCAAGACGACGACGACATCGAGGATCGAGAGACCCTCGATCGTTTCCTGGAGCAATCGTCATGTAGAACTTTATGCGCTCGACCGGCCGACACGAATCGGGATCAAGTTCGTTTAAAATTAACCACCGAATTGCCTGCCGGTCGAAACACATTGGTCTTTTTCAAGGTACATAGCAGAACTTCTTCGCACGAAAAATTATACGCTGGCAAAAAGAATAGAGTAATCGTGATTAATGCAACAAGTAGAATAAAGACTTGTCGATTAGACATTCCAATTTGTTTTCTTGAAATTTATTAATTCTACAGAATTGTTCTTCTGTACGTTTCTCTTCGGTAATGATCTCTAATCGCTATGTCGGCCGCTGATAAGCGTGACTCTATTTCGATGATAGAAAGTTTAGAAAGCATCTGCGACGCGACGGTCAAGACGCCGCTTAAATTCGCTGATTGTGCAAAATGTATGCAGGTGACAGCGGCGGTGGTGACAGAGGAGAACTTTCACGATGTAGTCCAAGTGGCTTCCACCGGCTGCGGCGACGGATCGGTACTAATCGAGGGTCTTCGTCAGGTGTGGGCGCCGACTCTTCAGTCATCCGGTTTAAACACATCGTGCTTGAAAAAATTGGAAGAAAAGCTGCTTAGCTCCGGATTCTCGACCACTGTCGCAGAGGAGGAAGAATTTTGGAGGAGAAAACGGGACGAGGTCAAACGATCACATGAAAGAACAGTTTGCGATGAAGCCGTCAAATCGGTGAAGAACATCAGGGTCGAACTTGAAAGCGCCGCGACGTCGAGGTGCTTAATTTCCTTGATATATGGCATTAGAAATGAAGGAAAATAAAATAATGATTAGAAACAATAATATTCAAAACGGTTAAAATTTAAGAAAAATATTATTGTATTTTTATTATACAGTTACTATCTTTTATTTTTGGCATAGAGATGGCTTGATTGCTGTAGAAGAGGCTTGTGAAGCCATTTCGGTTTATGTGGATGATTTATGGAAACTAGGAGGACCAGCCTATACCGAGGATCGAATGAAATCGCTTCTCGATGTAATTGGAAACGAAGTGGTTGAATTAACACAGAATTATCTTGCCGCGGTACGTTGACTCCAGAGTCCTTCCGGTGTCGTATTGTTCATGACTATCTACCATTACATGTGGGAATGTCAAAAGCGACCCACCTAAAAATTCCTAGATATTAGAAGCATAATGTCATTACAAACTAACTCGCGGAAAATATTATTTTATTTCTCAATAAATAAAATTTTAATCAAAAGAAGCGGGAAACTTGATTATTTTGTTTCTCTAAAAGATACTATTGAGCGATTGTTCGTTTATATAACAATTTGTAAAATATATATCATTCAATAGGTCGATGCAACCGACACTCGTGCAAAGGACGAAACGATCGCATTTGGTGCGACAGTGTGCGAAAAATGGATAAGTGCTACGCAAAAATTAACAGAACTTTTCTGGCCGCATCATTCGCTTCATCCTTGGCGTGGAGCGATCTTTGTACCCGAAAGATGCTCGAAGCTTGGCAAAACTCTCAGGTAGAATGATATTGCATACAAATCCACTTGGCATAAATAATGAACACAATTGTAATCATCAGGCAAATGTCCGAGTTGCGTGCACAGCACCGCCAATTGAGCAGACTTTTAACCTCGAACGAGAGATCAGGACTCGGTATTGATAAATTACTCCAAGCATTCGATGACACGAAGGGTATCTATATCTCTATTTTTAAGATATTCCACATTAGTTTTTTAATAAACAATGATCTATGGCAACAATTTTCTATGATAATTTAAAACTTGAGTTTTTTTAAATTACAAATACACTCTTAAAAAATAAATTAGTATTATTTGCTGATTATAATTACAATAATAAAAAAATTAGCGAATTTTTAATGATCTGTATTATCTAATAGTACATATTTCAAATAAGCATTTAATAATTACGATTTATTGTCAGTTGGATTGGACGATGATGAGAGAGATGGCGAATGGGAGAGACTAAAACGTAAAATTGAGGAAGGCTTGGAACCAGCCGAGGAACGCGTGGCTCAAAAGCTGAAATCTCATATCGCTGATGCTGATACTCCGAGTGCTTTAGTAGCTGAATTTACAAGATACAGCGAGCTGATAAAGAGGGAAGGGCTTAAGAGAGCGTTGCGTGGAGAACGAGAGTCGTTGCTTTCTGCATATCGTGATCTAATCGGTAGAGAATTACTACAAAATTATGAAATGTTTTCTATGTCTTCTTTAGCTATCACAAATATAATTAAAAAAAAAAGAAAATCATTAATATGCTCTCTATATCTCATATTATTTCTTATATATTCTTTCTCTTTAACATTATAATTAAAAAAAAA